CTGCTAGAAATGGAATTCAGAAAAATACCTTTAGTAATTCCTCTGATCTTTATCAGGAAAGCAGACCATGTGGATGGATTTCCCTGTGGCCAGCTGTGAGCAGTGGACACTGCTTCATCGGAGGGGGTGTTGGCTGTGTAGCATCACTGCCCCACTGCCACCATGTCCTTCTCCCCTGCTGCCACCCACCTAGTGTTCGAGGCCTGGCTTCCTTGTTCTCTGGTGATCATCACAGGCAGCTGGCTGCTTATGGGAAGGTTGGGGGTTCAAGGCCATCCAGAGGTGCCTCAGAAGAAAGGCCTGGTGATGTCTTCTGAAAAATCAGTGGTTGGCGTACACAGTTCTATTCAGACACACATGGAGAAGCCAGGGATTTGAATCAAGTGCAGCAATTGTGCTTACCCTCCCCAAATCAGGTTAGGGGGATGGTTTTAAAGAAAGATTACAATGTCTGTAGCTGTAAGTCTGTGGTCCTCTACTGTTCATAGGGTTTGAGGAGGCCTGTTATTTAAGAAGTGGATGGCCAGTCCTGCTTTCTGGTCTGTCTTAATCTGGACACTCCACTGAAACCTTTCCACCCTAGGTGACCCTTGTGTCATTTGACACCAGTGGCATAGCTTTCAGTATGCCAGCAACCCACAGGTTATCTATTTTACACTGTAAAAGAAGCAGTTAGAACCTGGAGGTGGCCGAGTCTGACTTCTACTTATTTCATAAAAGGGAATGTACTAATCAATAACATCTATAGCACTAAACAAATATCTACGTGGTCAGACATGCCACCCTGCATGCTCCCGCACCTGTTCCTACCAATCATTGGGTCCAGTGTTCGTTACAACTGGATTCACAGATTTTACTCACAGTTGTACGGTTTATTAGGGAAAAAGATTGGATAGAGGGAGCGGCAGAGAATATCACACAACGCAAGTCCACGTTTAGTCCACGAGTCCCAAGGTAGATTAACAAAGCACAATTGCTCAGTTAGTGAAAAGTCCAGGTTCAGTTCAGCAGCACACATGCACCTCTGTTCTCTCAGTCATTCAGCAAACTTTGTCTCAGAGCAGTTACAGGTCAGCTTTTCCTTCAATGATCCAGCAAGCAAAACCTTTAACTGTGGCTCCACTCTGGTTACACCTTGCCACAGTCTCTTCATCCTCTCTCCCCACCACCGTCTCTTACAGTGTGCAAAGTGCTCTCTTATCTTAGTCCCACAGCTCTTGAGGATTTGCAAGACCATGTATCTGCAATTAAGGTGGCTGGAGACCATGTCCCCAACAGGGGCTAAAGCAGTGGATAGAAAAGGGCTAGTTTTCAAGGTTTCTGGCTCCAGAGTAGCCTGCTGCTGTTCAGGCCTACAGATGGATGTATTGACTAGTGATTGTACCTGTTTCCTGCCTGGCACTCAGCTCCTAACCTTATGATTGACGCTTCATACCCACAAAGTGATTAAAAACATCCAGCAGCAACACACCCCGACATATGCACATGTAGAGTCAGTTCCAACTCAGCTGCCCTCCATCGGGTTCTGAGGCTGTAATCGCTACAGGAGGAGGTGCTCTGCACTGCTGAGGTGGAACCGACTCCCAGCTGACCTCCAGCGGGGTTTCAGAGGCAGGAAAACTTTTTAAAATTTTTTTATTTTAATGAATATTTACAGAGATTTTGGATTTCCATTCACTCATGCTTTCACTTTTCTCCATGACCACCTCTCCCCCCACCAGTTCGCTCTTCTCTTTGAAAAGTAAAAGAAGAATTCCTTCATTAGTATACAGTTCCACACACCCCCAGTACACTCAATTATTCAGCCTTCATGCAAATCAAAACAACTATGAGATATCATCTCACCCCAGTCAAAATAGCAAAATTTAATAGAACAGCAAGCAATAAATGCTGGTGAGGTTGTGGAGAAACTGGAACCCTTATTCACTGTTGGTGGGAGTGTAAAATGGTGCAACCACTGTGGAAGGTGGTATGGTGCTTTCTCAAATAGTTGCAAATAGAACTACCATTTGACCCAGCAATTTCTCTACTGGGAATATACCCCTAAGAGACCATAACTGCCACCCAAGCAGATATATGCATACCCATGTTTATCACAGCTTTGTTCACAATAGCAAGGAGTTGGAAACAACCTAAGTGCCCATCAACAAACGAATGGATAGAGAAGCTGTGGTATATTCACAC